TGGTGCAGGAGAACTCCTGTCATATTATTTTAGGTTCTGCTGAGTAATTAAATATTAGTTTCCCTTTGAATAAGTGGAGGTCCACATCATCACTTATATTCTGAGGACCAAATTGTCTGCTGAAAATTAACAGAATTGAACCAGAAGAGGAATTTGGTCCTGTAGTTTTAATAGAGGGATCTACATCTAACCTACCACCCACTTCCCAACAAACATAGGCAAAGTTAGCACTAATTAGTAATATCAGGGACACTCTTGGGAGGACTGAAGGAGCCCGAGAGCCTAAATGAGCTGATCTTGCAGGCCAATGCTGAGGGACAGTAATAGGGCTGTGCCAGAGAAGCTTGTCCCACTGTGCTCATGTTTTACCCATCACATGACTGAAGCGAGCAGTAATATGTTACCAATAGACTACGCAGGGATTTGTGAAAATAATAATAATAATAAGTAATAATAATAATAATCCCCTTCCTCTCATCCTGTAATAAACCCCAAGTCCTAGGAATGCAGATAAGAGCAGATGAAAAATGTTTCAATTATTTTCTCATTGAAACTAAAATGCTCTTTTATAAGCAGAACTCAGAAAGGAGACAATGCCAGCTGACAAAAATCTATATTAAGTATGTTTGCAAGAAATATTTGTGTTTTGTTCCAGGAAATTCTACTTAAATCGACAGTATAGCTGAGAGTCCAGCTTATGAAATCTGAAGGGGGAGGAAGAACCTTTGTTAAAACATCAAATATGGGAAAGTATATGAAGATCATCCTTTCCCCCAGAATATTTTAAAAACACTTACTGTTTGGTACAATCTTGCTTATGCTAAAGGCTTAAGAAAGCTTGCAACAGATAGATATTTGCTGTTCTCAAAACATTCTTTTAACATAGTTCCTTTACCCTGTAAAGAAATTAGCTAACAAATTCAATTTCATTGCATTGAAGTTACTAGATCATTTTGCAAATTATAAAATTTCTAATGGGAACAAGTCAATACAAACAATTATTGTACATTGCAATGACTACTCAAAACCTATCCAGAGGTCAAATTCTGCCTTCAGAAACACCCATGAAATTCCCACAGTCAAAAATTTGAATGATACCCTCCAGCACAAAAGAGTATGGCAGGACGCAGACTAAACATGCAAAATTTACCATATGAGAATTGAAACCCTATTGTGCACAGCAGGTCTTGAAAAAAGACAATACAGTGTATGCTGTTGTTCTGAGCAGTACATGTGGTTAAAAACCAAGACTGTAAGATCACATAAAAGGTTACTGAAATCCCTTTTTAAAATGGTAAAAGCCAATACATCTCCTGGATCACAGCACCTTGCAATCTCTTCACAGAGAGGTAACGAAATGTTTCATTGTTGTGAGATTACTTTAAACCATGTATTGTGTTTGACTGCACTTCACTCCATTAGAATCATAGAATATTTAAACTGGAAGGGACTGCAAGAAGTCATCAAGTCCCATTCCCTACCCACATAGCAGGACCAAGCACCATCTATCATACCTGACAGATGCCTATCTAACCTGCTCTTAAATATTTCCAGTGATGGAGATTCCACAGCCTCCCTAGGCAATTTATTCCAGTGTTTAACCACCCTGACAGGAAGTTTTTCCTAATGTCCAACCTAAACCTCCTTCCTGCAGTTTAAGCCCATTGCTTCTTGTCCTTATCCATTGGCCTTGATTACATTCCAAGTTATCATGGTGTAGTTCATTTCAATGTGTGCTTTTTCTCCAGTGTAGGGGCTATAGTGTTGGGTTCCAATTAACCATCCAAGTAATCAATGTTTCCTATTTAGCATGACTAGATTTACTGCTCTGGGTATCTATTTTGTACATGACAATTTAATTCACTTGCATTTGAAAAGAATCAGGAGAAATACTCTAAAACTGATATTCTCTTAAAACAAAACAATAAAAAGACATTTTTTACAGGATTTAAGACTATTGTTTAGTGTGTCCAGGGATAAAAGTGACTGAAACATTTAGACAGTCATGCTACTCTAATTTACATTGTATCAGCTTTAGAAATCTTATTACTAGCAGTTGGGAATGCAAAGAGGGAGTTTCACACTTCTTTGTGATTCTAAAATTCGACATGTGGTCTGAATTATGCTGGCTGGAAGTCTGATGATATTCCAAAAGGATGCATCATTTTATTTTTTGCGCATCTCCCTCTCTCTGGGAGAATAGAGGATAAACATTATACAACCTTTGAAAAGATAACAGCACAGAATAGATAAGAAATATAAAGCTGGATGCTAATATTTGCTCAAACAAACCATGTGCTGATTTAGTGTAGTTGGATTTCTGGCACTTCTAATCCCTGGAATAACTTGAAGAATGTCTGTGGTATATTCGGCCTGTAACCACAAAAGGGCAAGATACCTCTTATTCTGATTCATCTCAGCAGAAGCTGATATATTAAAAAGAACCTCTTCAACTCCTGCAAATGCTCAGGCCAGCCAAACTATCCCTTCATGATGTTGGACTGGTCTTCACTGAGTCTCCCTTTGTTTTTAGCTTCTTCCCATGTAATACTGAATTACAGTAGGTTTTTATTCTATTGCTGTTCAAAGCAGCATACACTCACATTCCAAACAAAATAACAAAATCAAGAAACATGGGTAGTAATTCTCCACTAGGTAAATTACCTTTAGGCGAATGCAGAATTACCTAACCTGAAACCAATATTTTTAAACATGGATGTCTAAAAAACAGGCACTTGCTCTGGCCAGTTTTTCAGAGGTGCTGAGTACCTGCTACTTTCCACAGGCTACAATGAGAGCTGCACAAAACCTCTGAAAAAGTAAGTCATTTTTATTTAGGCAGCTAAGTTTGAAAATCTTAACCTCAACTTTAGTAGTTGTATGGTACTCTCATTATGAGTGTGCAACTCTTATAGCTGACAGTTGATACTCTGCCATTGTACATCAGTAATGGTTTTATATGGAGAATCAGGACAGTATATTGAAAGACTGATAAGAATACTGATACACATTAAATCCCATTACACTAAATCAGCACATGGTTTGTTTGTTGCAGGTATCAGTATTAACAAAGGCACTGAGTGACTTTCTGATATTCAGGAAAATACTAGTGCTGCTTTCCAAACTGAAACATACATGGACTAACCAGCTACAATCAGTCTAATTGCATGTGACTGCTCTAGATTTTAAACTTGATTTAACTCAAACAATGTGATCAGTGTTTCCATGCTCCCCGGCAATGCTAACTTTAGAATATTATAATGAAACCTCATGCACCAGGGCATCACTTGCAGAACCACCAGAAGCAAATCCGGTCAGGTGCTTCATGGATTCTTTCCACCTTCCTCTGAAACATCAAGTGTAAGAACACAAAACACCTATGGACGGTTCGGGAGATCCAGTATGCCATAGTGAACAAGTGAATATAAGTTGCATAAGTGAGGTGAACACAGTGAACTACCTGGTCGAGATTATCAATTTAACAGCCCAACGCTAAGATTTTCAAATGAGCCCATGGGAGTTAGAGACATACATCCCACTGTACTTGGCCTCCTAACTCCTTTAGCCTCCTTCAAAAATCCTGCCACAGTATTTAACTAGGAAGTTGGTCAATAATTTCCATAGATCACTTTTAATTTGGCCTCGCACATGGTACTATGCATATTGCCTCAATGGAATTTTTACCTGCTGGGGGCCAGGCCTTGATATATCCAGTGCAGTGGACTACTGCATACTGTGCTTCTCCTTCTTTTACTGGGCCTAGGCCATTCCTATATAAGAAGAAAATATTAATAAATACATTTAACATCCTATAGAACTTTACACTAGTACTTTTTTTAAACACAAAATTTACCAACTCTACTAGCAATAATACATAGTACAACTCTTACATAATCTTTCAACATCTCAAGTGCTGCATAAGCCATCCTTAATAAACATTAAGTATCATTTTACAGATGAGGTTACTTAAGGTGGAGAGTGATATAGGTAAGGCCCTTAAGAAGTCAGTGACAGAGGCAGGATTAGAACTCAGTTGCAAATTCCCAGTCCTGAGCTCACTCCACTCTGATGTGATATCATGTTATTTGTGAGTGTGTCAGATTCTGATACATGAAGACTTGTTTAGGTAATCCTGGGAGATTTAGCTCTTGTGAAGTCACCAACTAAAAAAGTTTATTATGACATACTGTGGTTGCAACAAACAAACTTACCTGTATCTTTTTCGCATGGTAGTTATTCTGTTCAGAGGTAAATGATCCAAAGGGGCATTTCCACACCTAAAAATAAGAAAGCATTTGAAAGAAAATATAAATGCCAGGGGAGAAAAATCCAATTTGAATCCTTTTTAAAAGATACACATTGAAGTAATATTGTTTTTTTCTAAGACGCACAATCAAAGTATTTTCTAAGAGGTTGATACTACTATAAACCCCTATTGTATTTGTTTCTTTTACTTTTCAGTGCCCCAGCTATTTTCAAGACATAAATAATAAAAAAAACAAAAATAAGAAAACTATTGGCTCACAAAAGAAAATCCAATGGTTAATATGAGGCTAAACAAGAAAGACAAGAAGAAAACACAGCCCAAAGTAAAGAATTCCTGCATTGGTTTAAGAAGACCACAAATACTTTAAAAATCAAGTTTGAGAACTAGACAAATATACAATTTAGGACTTCAGATTTACTATCCAAAAATAATTCCAGCTTCCAGAGAATTTAGTAGAACAGAGAATTCACATACTATATACAATTACTTATGTATTAGATACTAGTGATTTGTATGCGCAACCATATATAACAATATTGCCCTACATGTGGTATCAACCCTTTCATTTAGGGATGGCTGGTAAGCATCTCCCTGTTAAGGGTGAGGGCTGCTCCAGCACTGCAGGGCCCCCCTGTGTGGAGCTGGGAGCTGGCAGCCCCACAAAGGATCAGAAACAGCCAGGAGGTTCAAGCCCTTGCTCCAAATCAAGCGAAGTGGGGTTTAGAACTTTGGTCTCCCAGAGGAATGCACTATTAATTGGGAAATTGGCTATTCTGGTCTGTGGCTTAATTACCCCCCGCCAACATTCCATCCTGGACTTTGAAGAACTTGACAGATGTTTTATTAAAACTAACACATTCTTACAACATTTTGACCAACTGGCATTTTCCAATGAAAACCATTTTCTGGAAAACCAATTGCTCAAAGACTGCACCACATGACCAGTAAACATGGGCCAGACGGAATAAGAAGTACACCCTAAATGATGACTAATAGACTGAATAGTTTTATTAAGTAAATATTTGTCCAAATTAATTAATTTGTTTATAGTTACAATTTAATAGGAGAAGAAAATGTTATTAGAGTTGCATGAAGGACATGTGTATGATGATGGTTCCATAATTTCAAAGCACAAAATGTAACTCCTATTTCTCAGTCCCAAACTCATGGAGCTAAACTGAAGTTTTGAGCATTGTGGAGCCCTGGGCGAAGAAGTATGGCAGTGCCTTAAAGGAAGCATGCAGGGGTTCTGGGATACTGAAAGGAAAAGTGGAACTTGCTCTTCCTCCTTGTTCAACTGCCTCCTGTGCTATCAACTCTGCTGCCATCCTGACATTTGCCCCGTGTTTGTTAGTGCTGCCATCACAACTAGGGATGTAAAAACTGCTTAAACTGTTTAACCAGTTAAACAATTTTAACAACCGGCTGTTGTGAGCAGAAACATGTTCCTGCTGGCTGGGCCCTCCAATTAACTGGTTACCCAGTATGCGAGTAAGGCTAATCCATATATTCCTAACCTCAGCTAGAGTCACTCTGCTATGCTTCTCAATATGAGTAACCAAACTGGAGCTGCTGCCTGTGTAGATCAGCAGGGGCGGCAGAGTGTCTTCATCACTCTACAAAACCCAGACAGAGACAGCCATAATATGATCTACAGTAAGTGACTGTTACATTTATACTGCTACTACAGCACTTCCAAAGCACCCTCAATTCAAGGACCTCAACGCGCTTGAAACACCTGAACTGATCCGATTTAATAATTGTATTTAATTAGGATGTGTGTCACTTTACATGTTCAAAACTTTATGCAAATTCAAATTCATTAAAGCGGGCTGGTCTTGGGCTTGATTTTACATTCAAACCTTTTGGTTTGTTTGCGTTTTTGCATAATTTATTCTCAGCGTACAAAGTCACACCGATGGACTTTTCACCATGTTGCATTCACTGAAATGGTAATTGTGACATTACAATTACAGGGGCACCAGAGGCCACATTCACAATGAGCCTCTGTTGCACAGGTGGCTCATATTAATCACTTTCTTGTGTGTTATTTGAGAAACAAACATCAGAACAGTCACAGAAACTTACCAGAAGTTTGAAAAATTGTGAAATAATTCCCCTCCTATCTAACATTTACTCATGTAACTAGAATTAACTAATTGGCCACTGGTCAATTTTTACATTGCTGGCTAACTCAGTAACTAAATTCCTGCTTGTCTTCAACATATTTTTAGTATTATTGGTTTGGGAGAGAGGGGGAAGAACTCAAACAGCAAAGTTTCAAGTCCATGTCTCTGCCATTGAGTGGGAATGGGGGTGTAGGATCTGGGTGGGAGGTGGGGTGCAGGAGTGGGTGAGGGTGCAGAGTCTGGCCAGGAGAGAATGTGCAGGAGCAGGCTGGGGGTAGGGCACAATGGCCAGGGGGAGCACGGGGGAAGGTTGGCACGTGTAGTGGCCAGGGAAGGGGGGAACTAGTGAGTGTAGCAGCCTTTGTCGGAGGGGGATTTTGGCAATCGTAGCAGCCAGAGGCAGGGGGAGAGTTTGGCAGGTGTAGTGGCCATGGGGAGAGGAGGGGGGTTGGCAATTGTAGCGGCCGGGGGACGAGGGGGAAGAGCTTGGCTAGCATAGCAAGTGGGGAGGAGGCATGGCGAAAGTAGCAAGTGGGGGGTGTAGCCCCCTAGTCAAACTTTAAGAAACAAAGGCTTACATCAGTGATGGGCGACCTAGGCCAGTGAGTGGTCCACGTGAGTGGCACTCCATCTCAGTGGGCTGCTAGACTGTCCTAACCAAGATGGCCTCCCAAGATAGAGCAGTTTTGCTAACTGTGCTAACGTGCGTAGAATTCGTGGGGTGTGCTAACTGACCCAGAGCAGTGTTCTGATTGGATGCAGAGGGAGCACAAGGTTCTTACAGTCAATGCTGCCTGCAATCAGCACACACCTCACTTCATGTGTCCTCGCGTTAGGTGTGCGTCACTTTAGTAATACTGGTAGGAAAAAAAAAACTATGTGGAAGGAAACGAACAGAATCTGGCAACCTTGCTCATGGGCAAAGGTAAACAAAATGTCTCCTGGGCCTCACACACAACCCCAATGGTCTGCATGTGGCCTTGAGGCCACAGGTTGCCCACTACTCGCTTACATTCTAGTGGTTAAAACAATCTAAGGCTCTCTGGATCAGTGCACAATACAGCACACTAATACAGATTAGATTTGATAACTTTCTTGCTAATTACAGGGAAAGGCAAATTGCAGATTGACACTAGATATAAAACCAATCATACTGGAAATGGCTAATCAGAGCGTCAGTACTTCTCATATTTTTACACCATGTCAAACCTGATGAACGGGGATGATATTTTGAGGTGTGAAAAGGGAGAAGAGCATAGAAGTAACAGAGAACTGTGTACCTCATTCTGCAAATGAAGGAGCGTCTGGATCCCATGCACATTCTCATTGAGGACTGCTGACCTTCCTTCTTTACTGTCCCGGTTTTTAAGTCCAAAATTCGCCCTGGGGAAACCAAGGAGAGCAATTCATGATCTTGATTCTTGCCTGCTAAGAACTGACACAAATTAATTTGACATGGTCCTCCAAATGACCAATTAACAGGTAAAAAAATTCCGGACATTATTAACACAGCGTCAAAATAAGCAGTGATATGTATAAAAAATACTTCAAATAGCATTAAGACAGACCCTCTTCCCCCTAACTGTTTTTAGTGAGAACAGTATTGATTTGAAAAAATAGCCTTTATATTAATGTTTTCTTTTGGTATAGTGTGGCAGCAAACATTGTAAGCATAAAACAAGATGCAGCCTCTGTTGTAATTAAATGAATGGAAAACCTAGACTATATAATAGAATATAAAAAAGTCCTTATCCCCCTATCTGCACAATGACATTTGGAAATAAGTTGATTTCTACGAATTAAGCCCTGAAATTATTGTCAGCTTTTTAGATCTACAGATTATTTAACTCCCATAGGGAGCAAGAATTAACTGAAGACATGCACACCTGTGATTGGGAGTAAAATCTTCACAAAACGCTTTAAAATGGGATATTTTAAAAACAGAACTAAGGACCAGAGAGCATTCCCTTTTGACTCCCAAGGGACAGTAAAAGTTTTTGCTGCTGTAGGAATGTTATTCTTACCAACCAAGGCTGGATTGTGCCTTCACAGCCTTGAGCAAGGGATGGTACTTAAACTGCATAAGCCAAGATGTAGTCCTGGCAGGCCCTGTTATCTGAAGAGATCCCCTTAAGGCACAATTCCCTCCTAGCTCTTGTGGGAGTGCAGGATAACGGGGGTCATTTGATACAAGTCTGTGGTACCAGCTAGTTATGACACTATCTCCCCCAGTTCAGCTGTGCTGTCCAATGTGCTGTAGGGACTGCACCAAGGCTCCACAGTCCAGGTTGCTAGCAGAGGAATTTAAAGGGGGAGTCTCTCTCAATTTTCCATGCGTCCAGCATGGGCCTATTTTCCAAGCTACAGTCTAGGCACCCAAATAAATAACTAAAGTTTAGAGAAAAAAATCATTACAGAACAATCAAGTTGATTCACAGATAAAAAGTAAAAATACAAGAAGATGCAGATAATTAATTTTAGATACTCATAAACAACATGTGAACGTGAAAAAACTTGCCCATCCACTTGACCAGACAAATCAAGTTAAGCAATTTTAGGAATTTTTTGCCTTTATAGAAAAACACTTCCCTGTACGTGTAAAAGGAGGGGAAAAGTTGCTTTCAAGGTGTAGTGGTACAGCTACCCCACTCTGGCCAGAAGGGGTGAAAGCAGGATGAAGGGAGCCTGCACAGAACTCCAGCCAAACAGAAGTTTATAAGGAACCAATGAGAAGCAGCTTCATGGAGTGCCCTTTTATAAAGGGTGGCTCAGCAGAGCAAAGAGCAGTTGAGTCCTGACCAGTGAGGGTGCAGGACCAACTCCCAGTGAAGGAGAAGCACCTTCTATAGGACAGTGCTGGGCAAGCTCAGGGGAGCGAGAGAGGGAAGCTTCGTCTTGATACCTCCCAGACTGTGGCCTTGATACAAGGGCCAAGAAGGTGCAAGCAGTTATGGGAAAAGTGGCCCTGGAAGCAAGAGGCAGTAGAGGGGAGAGAAGGGGAGCAGGACAAGGATGCTGTCAGAGGGTCCCCCGGTCCAGACAGTGGGCAGGCCTGCGTCCCTCCCATTTCCCCCTTACACTACATCTAGCCACACTGAGGAGTGATCTTTATAGACTGTGACTTTCCCCTGAGGTAACAGGCTAGACTGGGGCTGCAGTTGGCTACGATGGCGGATGGCGAGACTAAAGACTGTTGACACCCCTGGAAGGGGGTGAGAGATCTGAGCGGTGGGCACTGCTAGAAGGCAGCATCCCAAAAAGGATGCTGTGGTCCTGGGAGCGGCACAGGGCCAGAGCTAGAGCATGGAGAGAATACACGTGACGATGGGCAAAACACTGACCAGAATGGGGTGCCCTGCTGAGGACTGAGCTAATTTCCAGAGTGACCATCAGCAGGAGCTGTGGTGATGAGCTGACCCCGTTAAACAAGGGATAAATAATTTTTTAATTGAAACAGCCAATATCGATTCCTGCATTGATGCTATTAGCAAAAAATGAGGAATAAAAATGTATTTAATAAAGTCATAGAATAGTTCTTCATTTCTCATTAAGCAGCATACTAAAATATATATAAGCACCCTCTGCAGAAGTGGTTCCCAACTACTGGTGCATGGACCTGTGGTGGGCCATGGTACACTGCTAGGCCATGCCCATGCTGGCTGCTCCAGGGAGTTTGGCCTGTGACTACCGGAGCTGAAGCCAGCTCTTCATGGTGACTCTGGGGGCCAGGGTTAGGCTACGTTTTTTGGCGGACTGGCAACATTTTATTTGCAATTCTGCATAATGTATCATGAATATGCAAATAAAACATTGCCAGTCCACCTAAAGTTTGTGAATGGGTTTGCTGGTCCATGGTATAAAAAAAAGTCAGGAACAACTGCTCTACAGTATTAGATGGTTACCAACTTTACAACTGCCCATGTGTGTTCCTTTGGCACTGAAAACTTTGATAAAGCATGCTACCCAATAATATTTAATGGGTAATATTTAATGGGTCAGACAGTGCCCTGACTTATACCCCATGTAATCTCAGCGACATGCCTGGGAAGTGAGTCAAAAAATTATTTTGAGCAACAGATATTATGACATAGCTCTCAAGCAGCTTGTTTCAATTGTCACTCAAATGTTTTTTAACCTTTGCATAGTTGTAACAATGAACTGTACCGGTTTTAGTGCGTGAGCACACAAAGTACGTGTTTAGGAATAAACTTATAACATTAAAGTAAAAGGGGCAGAGGCTAAAATTAATTTAACTGAGAGGGGATCAGGTTTTCAGCTGCTCTTCAACTAGTCTCCAAAATTGTGCTCATGAATAGTTCTTGCCCCAGATAGCCTTTGTCTCCTACAGGGTTGGAGCCTCTAGGTCAGGGTGGGAAATAATTTTTGATGGGGGGCCACTCCAAGAATTTTAAAAGTGGCGGAGGGCTGCACTCTTTCATTATATTAATGGAGGAGGTGTGCGGTCTGGGATGGTGGTTGGGTGCAGAAGGGAGCTTGAGGTAAGGGAGGGAGTTTGGGTGAAGGAGGCAGTTGGGACCTGGGGAACTGGACTAGGGTGCAGGGGGTTGGATTGTGACCTAGGCAGGGAACTGGGGTATAGGAGAGGGTGCAGGGATTTGGATTTTGAGATAGGGCAGGAGGGGACTATGATCTTGGGCAGGAGATTGGGGTGCCCTATCTGGGAGGGTACATGGGTACAGAAGGGGGGCAGAAGATTTGGGTATGTGGAATAGGGGACAGGAGGGGGGGCAGGAGGGTTGGGGAAGGGAGGGACTGGGGTGCCAGAGGTAGGCTCTGCCAGAAGACTTACCAATCAGCAACAGTTTCTGAATCAAATCTCCCTGCCTGCCCCGCCCTCACACACGCTGCAGCCATGTGCTCTGGAGCACCTTGTGCTTCGTGGCTGCCTGTTATTGAAACAGGCAGCTCCCATTGGCAAGGCTCTGGCCAGAACCCAGCCAATGGGATTGTACTGGGGGCCACACCACAAGGGGAGCCAGTTTAAAAAACAGTTCCCTAATCAGACTGACTACCTGCCACCCTGCGCTGCCGCCTCTGTTGCAGAGGCAGCAGCATGGGGTGGCAGCAACTCCTGTCCGTTGTGGGGTCCAAGCTCCCCAAGGACAGGGGCTGCTCTGCAGGATGTAGAGCAGCCTTTGTCTGCAGGGTGCTCGGGCCCACTGCAGACAGAGGCTGCTTCGTGGCAGCTTCCTCTTTCCCCTTGCTTCTGCCTCTGATAGAGGCAGCAGCACGGGGGCATTGCGGAACCAGTGCTGGGGGAACCAGCTTTTAAGCTGGCCTCTTCCACCACTGGCTCCTGCTCCCTAACTTGCTGCCTCTGATACAGAGGCAGAAAGCAGGGGGGAAATGTGTGCAGGCAAGATGATTAACTGATAACCCTAGGCTTATTGGTTAATCATACAGTCAACTACATGTTGACATTGCTAATTAAGATACATGCCTCCTAGATTGTTTTCTCCTCCTCCTCCACCCTCCATCCCAGGCTCTTGATAACTATGCTTTGCCACACACACCATTTCCATCTCACCACTTCTTTTACAGTCTTAGATGTACATCAGTGGCATACAGCCTTTATCTTCATTCCTAATGAGGTCTGGGGAGCCACAAAATAATCAAGTCACACTGACCCGATTCTGTATCACAATGTCAGTCATGAATTTTATCAGTGACACGATGAAGGACTGACTTCATCAACAACATCACCAGGTCTTGATGCAACATCAGAGCCTCCTCCTTCTTTCACCACTCCATTCTTGACTTCATGGATGGGAGTAGCCCAGATTGCGCCATTTAAAAACTGCATGGGGGTTAAGAAATAAGGGTCCTGGAAATGTTTGCAGTGGGAGGCGGGGGCAGTTCCAGTTGCTTGGCACTCCCCATTTCATCTGGCACACACTTATCAGGCAGCTGAGCAGATCACCAGTCACTGTTGCACCATTTGCTCCACCTGGAAGCAAGGACCTAGCATAAATGTGAATCTCTTGTAGCATCACATGTAGACATCTGCTCATGGCTTTAGGATCAGTGATACAGGCAGACATCTGCTTTATCATCACTGGAACTATAGTTTGTTACAGCTGCTCACATGGTGGACCCTGGATTATGCCAAATTACAACCAAACACAGAGCAAATAATCACAGCTGCATGCCATAGGAGCAGTTAAATGCTATATTCTGATGATAATTCTGTCATAAGAACATAAAATATTCATCCCTCTGTATGCTTTCTGCATCTGTTATACTACCACCACGCATATTGATACATGCTCATTTAGAATCTCTCCATCACAAACACACGTGCAAAATACAATTGATTCTGATCCTGGCAACAATATTCTGATGAGAAAATGTTGTGGACTATT